AATTCACTAATCTTCTTTCACACTTTTCAATCACCCCATTCCAAATACCTAAAGACCTGCTGTTAGCTCCTAGAGGCATCCCCAGATAAGTTGTAGGGAGGTCACCAATTCTTCCACCAAGGGTCCTAGCCAGAGAGGATAGGTCAGGAACTACATTAACTGGATATAAGAAGCTCTTATTCCAATTTATATGAAGTCCTGATACAACTTCAAAGAGAATAAAAATCACCCTTAGCATCCTAAGTTGTTCTTTATTGGCATCACAAAATATGAGAGTATCATCTGCATATTGTAAATGAGTGATCTCCAGTTCGCATCCCACTCTGTTTGATATTTTGAATCCCTTTAACCAAAGGTTCTCTCGAGCAGTTTTCAGCATTTCACTTAGCCCTTCCATTGTAATGATGAATAGAAAAGGTGATAGAGGGTCACCTTGCCTTAGGCCTCTTTGAGCAGAGAAGAAGCCTGTAGGTGAGCCATTGATAAGAACTGAGTATTTGACAGTTTAAATGCAAAATTTCATCCATCTTAGCCATCTACCACCAAAACCTCTTTTATCAAGATTTTCCCACAAAAACTGCCAATTTAGGTGATCATATGCCTTCTGTATGTCTAGCTTGCAGAGAATTCCTAGAGCATTGCTTCTGGTTCTAGAATCCACACACTCGTTTGCCATGAGGATGGCATCCATTATTTGCCTACCTTTAATGAAGGCCAACTGTTGAGTGTCCACTAGTTTATGCATCACCTTTTTGAGTCTCTCAGTAAGAAGCTTAGAAATGATCTTGTAAACACTACCAATTAGGCTGATTGGTCTGAAGTCAGTAAGTTCCTTTCCACCTATCTTTTTGGGAATCAAGGCAACATAAGTTGAGTTGAAGCTTTTCTCAAAAACACATCTCTCATGGAAGTTCTTAACAGCATTAATAACTTCTCCTCCTATGACTTCCCAACAGTGAGTAAAGAAAGCCATGGTATAACCATCAGGCCCAGGTGCCTTGTCTCCGGCACAAAGCTTTACACTCTCCCATATCTCTTGGTCCTCAAATTACTTTTGAAGCATAAGATTATCTTCTTCAGAAATTATGTGTCCTCCCCTGCAATTGCCTGAGGGTCTCCAGGTCTCAGTTTCAATGTTCAATTCCCGATAGAAATCCACTATCGCTTTCTTTATAACTTCTGGACTCTTGACTGCTTCCCCATTCACATTTAACTCATCAATAGAGTTATACCTTTTGTGTGCATTGGCAGTTCTATGGAAGAATTTAGTGTTATTGTCACCTTGCTTCAACCAATTAACCCTTGACCTTTGTCTCCATGATATCTCCTCATACTTGGCAATGTTCTCAAACTCTAGGAGAAGTTCAGCCTTTGAGTGTATCTCCTCCACATTGAGAGTTCTCAAGTTGACTGAGTATACTCTGTTTTTGCAAGGCTAGATTGCCCTGACCAGACTTGCTCCAGTCCCTTAGTTTGTTTTTTAAAGCCTTTAGTTTGAAAGCTAGAATAAAGTCAGGTCTTCCTTCACATGTTAAGGAAGTCCACCACTCCTTGACCCTTTCCAAGAAACCCTCTGTGTGTAACCACCAATTTTCGAATTTGAAATAAGATTTCGCAGGCTCCCAGTTTCCACATTGCAACATAATCGGAGTGTGATCAGATGTTACTTTCGGTAGAACTGATTTCTTAATGTTTTTGAAGCCTTCATCCCATTCATTAGACACTGGGAATCTGTCTAATCTAGCCGCAACATCATGTCTGTTCCCTTTCCTCCAAGTATATTTACCACCTGCTAGTTGAGGGTCCAACAGATTTAGGTCCATAATGAATTCAGAAAAATCGTTCATTGCTTTTGATATTCTGCCACAGTTCTTCTTCTCTGAAGGATATCAGACTGTGTTAAAGTCTCCACAAACCACCCAGGGCCCATTGACCAGACCTCTCGCTGATCCAACCTCCCACCAGACTTCTTCTCTTTCTTCTCTATTGTTAGGAGCATAGACACCGGTCAGGAGCCAGGTGAATTCTTGATTCTTGCCTGTAAACTGGCAGGATATAGAATAGGCTCCTACATTGCTGATAGCTCCCTCCCAGACTTTCCCATCCCATAGAATTAGAATGCCCCCTCTAGTCCCACTAGCTTCAAGTTGACAGAACTTTACTCCTCTATTAGCCCACAAATCTTTTACAATGTTACTGATATCACCCTCAATCTTAGTTTCTTGGAAGCAATACACATCTGCTTTCCATTCATGAATTAGATTCTTGATAACACACCTCTTGTTTGCCTGGTTAAGGCCTCTCACATTCCATGTGATTATCTTCACTGTCATTGGGAACTTGGAACGGTATATCCTCCTTTGCTTCTTGTGCCATTGCTTCCACACTCTAAGCTTTTCAATTCTTTAGACCCTTTTATTATTGGTGTTGCTTTACTGGTGTTTTCCCCATTATCTTTGTTGATTTTCCTCATACCATCAATCTTCATGAATAATGATAAAGCTTCATCTTTACACCCCTTGATGTCCACTCCAAATTCCTTGGCCAGTTTGTTTATGTTCTGATGGATCCAGATAGGGACATCAAATTTTGGATCATCCCCTTCTTCTGGGCTGTGTTGATTTAGCGGCACGGCTTCTTCAAACGGAGTCAAACTGGTACTGACTACTTCAGTGCTTTGAGGGTTGTTTCCTTGTATGCATGTGCTGGCCTGCTGCCAGAGAATCTCAGAGGTATCTACAATATTCCCCATCGCTGTTTCTGCTCCTCTCTTCTCCTTCAAAATTTCTTCCTCTCTCAAAGATAACCCCTGCGCTGTTACGAGCTCTTCTGCCTGCTATGGAGCAGTGGAGGAAGAGGTAATTAAGTTAGCCTCTAATTCCACCACAATTGGGTCCAACAAAAGAGAGAAAAAGATTTCTGCAGGCAGCCCATTTGAAATGGATTGGGCCAGAATATCTGGGCCCAATTTTTTCCCCTTATTTACTAAGATTGATTTCTTAGGAAGAATAGAGTGGTGGGCCCTTGGTTTACATGTGATATCACGTGCTGGGCCAGCTGGCCATTTTGAAATTTCTGGATCATACGAGGACCACACGTGGCCAGTCACTTCTGTAAACCCTAAAAGGCTGTCTTCCCCCTTTTGACTGGACACTTCTTCAGACCGTTGGGTATTAATGGGTATTCGTCTCCGTTCATCAGAGATCACTCTAGCCGGTGTCTCCACCCATATTTGCACTTTGAATGTCAAATCTCCGTAGGTCAGCTCACTGTGCTCGGAATCGACTCGCCATCTCCTCGCACCTTCGGCCTTGCCCATTTGAGGTGATTGCGTAATTCTGTCTCTTCTTCCGTACGGATCCAGCCTCCACAGAGATTTCCGATCTCACGGAAAACTTTATGGGACCACAAATGGAGAGGGAGTCCCACTACTCTTATCCAGACTTGATTCGGTCTCTCAAAAATGGCGTTTGAGGTTGGTGACCACCATTGAAGGCTGAATTTGTAAGATTTCCAGAACCAGTCCCCCCTTACTATGTGATCAACAACTGTTCTATTGGGGAATTCGAAGAGAAATCGATTCCTCCCCAGATCGAAGATATTGATTCCATGATTGTGCCTCCAAGTGCTTGCGACCCATCGTCGGATCTCTGATAAAGTGATGCCTGGGATTTCCTCCGGTAGGGATCCGACAACACTCTTTGCTAGCGACTCGTTCTGAGTTGTTGAGATGGCATCTGATATAATGAGTGAATTCCCTTTTTGTTGAATCCTCGCACCATTTAATTCCCTTGTAGACCATTTATTGTTCCTGACAATGTCTGAATATAATAAACCCTTTTCAGTTTTCCTATGTGATGTTTTACCTATCGGTTGGGCCTTAGCATTTATGAAGACTGATATTTTGGTAGCTATGTCCATCCATCCAGAGTTTAAAGACCACTCAAGTATGATGATGACATCTCTTTTCTTGTCCTGCACCTTTATAATACTAATATACCAACCCAATTTGGTTGTAGTTCCTAGCGCAGAAAAGCTCAGTAAAGTGGTCCTGACGTTTCCATCTGCGTACAGTGTATCCATGGCTTTTTGAAGCTTCCTTGAGGGTGTAGGCTAGCCACTCCATTGTCTTCTGGCTAATACTCATCCTCGTCATCATCTTGCGGCCTCTCTCTACCCAGTCGTACCAAGTTTCGGCTCTGGATACCACCCTGGTAATGTCGTACGATTTGAAACCAACAACAAAGAAAATTGTATCATCCCCCATAGTTGCACGGAGAGAAAAAGGAAGAAAGGCTTGAATAAGAAGAGGTAGTCCCTCTTTGGTTTCTTGAAAGGGTTTTTCTGGATGTTCCAGAATTACGGCCTCCAACTCTATGTTATTGCCTTCATTCCCTCGATCCGACAGTCCTCATTCTCTCACGTGGCATGCTGCTACTGTGAACAACAAAGTCAAGGATTCTTCCCCTCCTTCATTAACTCAATATAGAATTATTTTACGGGGAAATGTTTTGCCGTGGTCCACCTCTACATGGAGTTCTAGTTCTGCATTTGGACTTTTAAGAGTTTATAAAAATCAGAAGTTTCTAAGAGTTGAGCCATATTTTCCATTTTTTCTTTTACTTGATTAATTACTCCTTGTGTTCCAAAAGTTGATTTACTTTAGGTTATGTGGGTCAAACTGATAATTCTTATTTCATTTAGTTCAATTTTATGTTTTATTCATTAGTTTTTCTCATTTTGTACAGGGTGAAATTGACAAATAACAAAGTGATTGTTAGCCACACATTACTAAATACTGTATTTTTTTGTTGGCTATTCTTCAAATACAAGATCAGTCTAATTTTTGGGATAGAAAGGGCAGTTAGGATGTAGGAGTAAGGAGTTGAAACATTGTGGTCTAGAATTGATACTTATATATGTTGGTTAAAATATGCATTTTTTTATCCTAAAGGTTAAAATATGCATTTTTTTGTCCTAAAACCCCTTCTGCTTTTTAGTTGCTTACGGAGATGGATGGCTTTGAATCGGACTTGAATATCATTGTAGTTGCTGCTACTAATAGACCAGAAGCTCTAGATCCAGCACTATGTCGACCTGGACGCTTCTCCAGGAAAATCTTAGTGGGGGAACCTGATGAAGATGGAAGGAGAAAGATCCTGGCTGTACACTTAAGAGAAGTTCCCCTTGAGGAGGACCTGGAGCTTGTATGTAACCTGGTTGCATCTCTTACCCAGGGCCTTGTAGGTGCTGACCTTGCCAACATTGTCAATGAAGCTGCTTTGCTTGCTGCTCGAAGAGGTTAGATCAAGACATATTGTACTGATTACCACTGTTTCGTTGCATTCACACGTGCTTACCCTCTTCATGGTTGATATTGGTAGCTAGCTATTTATTTGTGTTATTTGCGAATGTGTAAAATTGGTAGCTAGCTAATTATTTGTGTTGCCGTAAAAATGTACCAAGTGTCCTTAAAAATAAAACAAAATAAAAAGGAGGGCCAGAAAGGGAATGAAAGTTAGGGCTGTTGTTTGATGAGTATTTAGTTCATCAACTTGCTTCACTGGATAGCTATTTATGATTGGGAGAATGTGTGATGTCATTTATCTTGAAGCAAATAACCATCACAAATAGAGTAGCATGTGATTTGCTTTTTAACGAAAACTTAGTTATGAGGGGCTTATATTTTGTCTTGATATGAGGAAAATGATGTTTAAACCTTGGGATGATTATCTGGTGAAAACTTGCATGCCCTTTTATTGTTTCAAATTTTCTCACTTGCCCACCCCTGTACCAGAGCTCCTAATTAGCAGGTCTGTAATGTTTCTCTAATACAACCAAGCACTTCCTCATATACTATTTTGCTATTGTTTCCATTTACTTAGTGCATGTGTAAAGCCTTCTTTCTCTCCTCTGCTTACCTATCTTTTTATGCTCTTTTTTGAGATGGTAAACTGTTTCTTTTACCATGATAGAAATGACAAAATCGTCAGTTGTTTATTGTATTTTGATTATCGCGGTATTTTGTTGTTCTTGGTCCTTTCTTGTAGGATTTGCACTGCCCCCTTGTTAGTTGCTATTTTTTCCACCGTTTTTTTCTTCCTTGTACTTGTATTTGCTGCACTTGAGCGAGGTCTTTTGTAAACAACCTCTTTACCTCCACGAGATAGTGGTAAGGTTTGCGTACACTCTACCCTCTCCAGACCCCACTTGTGGGATTTCACTGGGTATGTTGTTGTTGATAGAAATAACAAAATCGCATCTGTTTTACAAAACCAAGACTGAATGGCTGAAGCCACCGACATAACAATATTACATTTATATGCATGTTTTACAGGGGCTGATTGTGTGTCAAGGGAAGATATAATGGAAGCCATAGAAAGAGCAAAATTTGGGATTAATGATAAGCAATACACCCAAAGTGCAATAGGCAAGGAACTGGAGAAACTGTTCCCTTGGGTTCCTTCTTTCATTAGGAAGAACAGTACAAGAAGTGATGCAATGCAAGGACCTCTGGGGTATCAAGCACTCAGCTGAGATATTAACCCTCTTGTTTGTATAATGTTTTTTTTTTCTCCACATATTGAAGAATGTAATGCAATGGAAAAAATGGTTGTTCATTATTCATATTGCCGACCTCAACTTGTTTGAGATTGAGATATAGTATCAAGAATGTAACCGAAAACTTATACATGAATTTTTTTTGGCAACAATTTGTACAAAGATTTTTATTTTTTTGGTATTAATGTCCCTTCTTCCCTTTTTTGGGATATGTGGGGCAGAACATTTGAACCTTCAACATGGTTATAAACATAGATAAAGATCACTGGCTGATTTTTTTGCCCAAGTTTAGACGGACAAAGTTACTCAATATTTGTGTTGATAGGAGGCAATAGATACCTAATGAGATACTTGAGGTGGCCAGAAGCTGGTTTGAATCATTATGGGGTCGTTTGGTAGAAAAATAAATAATGCAGGGATTAGTAACGCAGGGATTAGTAGTGCAGGGTGTATTTTTTATCAAGTGTTTGGTTCATTGCTTCTAACCTCATCTTGTGTATGGATTAAAATTCTACAAAAAACTTCTTTCCAATTATACCCTTGCATTATTATGAGATTTTCTATTTTATGTAATCGGTCAAGGTAGATAATTGCCGGACAATATTATACTGTTATGGCCTTCTAACTAACTTGGAGAAGAACAATTTTGTTGTCATGTTTGCTATTTTCTCACTTGAATTATTTGAGGGTAAATAATTGTTATCTTAATAAATTAATCACTTAAAAACGTTAATTTTCAATTTAAAATAGATAGACCATCTACTTTAAAATCGAAAAGACGATAAAAATAGTAAAATCGAATAAATCATCTATATTTACATATAAAAATTGCAAGGTGTAGTTTTAATATGTATGCAATTTATAAATTGTTCAAAATACAAACAATTAGAAACCACATATAAAGCAACAAATAAAATATTCAATTAAGATCACAAACGTCATGTGGTGATATATTTGCCTTTTCAATTATTAAATGTTAAACAACTCACATTTTAAATATTGTATTGATATGTATTGTATTTATTTATTAACAAACAACTCTCTCTAAATAATAAAATTTGTAAGCTAATTTATTTAAATAAATTTACTAGTACAACTATAAAACATAAAATCAAGAAAATAAATAAAATGATTTGAGGAATATTTTTGTCTTTACATGGATAATCTCATGGTATTAAATCCAATGTATTACTAATACCACCACATGGAAGGTATTAGTAATACCTCCTATAATACCATGTAGGGTGTATAACTAATCCATGGATTAGTTATACTTAGGCCCAAAAATTCTACCAAACATAGTACTAAATAATACCATACATAATACGTGGATTATTTCTCCTAATACCTCCTACCAAACGACCCCATAGTGTTCATGTAAACCATTGTTACAAAAAGAATTTAAAAGGGTTAATACTGTTCCTACGACTTACTAGATTCCATTAATCCTAAACATGCGTTTTTTTTTTGTTATTTGAAAAGAATGTCATTTAAATTTGAGTTTTTTTAATTATTAGTTTAATTTTCCGGACAAAGTAGGGACAACCACACCATTGGCCAGCCACCCGTCCTTCCATTAATTTCTCGTAATTTTGCTGTTGATGAAATCAAATGGCATTTAGTAGTTTAATAGAATGTAAAGATATTTTATAATTTGATTTGATGTAATGAATTTTCTTGTTTTATGACATTATGATTGTTGTATTTTTTATCAAAAAATCTAATTTAAAATGTACAAAGTAGTGCATTAATTAATTTCTTAAAAATGACTTAGAATATGCCTTAAGGTTGTGATTGTGGGTATTGTAGAAGGGTTGATGAAGTTCAGGGTGTTGTTCTTAGGATACGTAGAGGTAGAGGAACCGGGCTTGATGAGATTTTAGTAGAATTTTGGAAGAGCACAGACGAGACAAATATGAAGTGGCTAATTGAGTTGTTTGATGTCGTTTTTAAGATGGGGAAGAAGCTTGAAGAATGGAGATTGAGCACAATGATTATGCTGTACAAAAATAAAGGTGTCATTCAAAATTGCAATAACTATAGGGGTATCAAGTTGTTAAGCCACACTATAAAGATTTAAGAGAGAGTAGTAGAAATGTGGGCGAGGAGGGGCGTGACTATTATTGAAAATTAGTTTGAATTCATGTCGCGACGCTCAACTATAGAGTCCATTCATTTCGTAAGAAGATAGGTGGTGTAGTATTAGAAAAACATAAGAACTTACAAATGGTGTTCATTGACCTAGAAAAGTCTTAATTACGACAAAGTTCCAAGGAAGGTTCTTTGGAGTTACTTGATTGGAGGATAGAGGTATGTGACTTATACTAGGGTGATCAAGAACATGTATGATGGAGTCAAAACTTGAATAAAAACAGTGTAAGGAGGCTCATAACACTTCCCAATTTTGATAGGGTTGCACCAGACATCAACCCTTAGCCTGTTTTTATTTGTCTTACCGATGGATACATTGACGAGACAAATTCAAAGTGAGGCGTCATGGTGTATATATGTTATTTGCAAATGACATAGTTCTTGTTGACGAGACTGGTGGTGATTAAGCACTAAGCTAGCTGGAAGTTTGTAGACACACCCTGGAGTCTAAAGAGTTCAGGTCGAGCAGGCCCAATACAAAGTACTTGGAGTTCAAGTTCAGTGATTATGTGGAAGTGAGGCTTGATACACATGTCATCCAAAAAAGAGGAAGTTTCAAGTATCTTGAGTCTATTATTCAAGTGAATGGGGAGATTGATGAGAATGTCACTCATCGTATTGGTGCAGGATGGACGAAATGGAGGTTCATATGAAGTCTTACGTGATAAGAAAGTACTACCTAAGGTTAAAGACAAGTTCTACAGAGTAGTTGTTAGGCCAATTTTTTTTTTATGGGAAGGAGTGTTGACCAATCAAGAACACTTACATTCAAAAGATGAAAGTTGCGGAAATGAAGATGTTGCGATGATTGTGTTGGCATACTAGGAGAGATAAGATTAAAAATAAGGATATCTAGGATATGGTGGTAGCAGCTCTAGTGGAGGACAAAATGCGGAAAGCGAGAGTGCGAGACTGAGATGGTTTGAGTATGTGAAGAGAAGAGACACGTATATATGTCCCTGTGTGGAGGTGTGAGAGGTTGGTCATGGATGATTCTAGAAGAGGTATAGGTAGACCGAATATATATTAGGGGAGGGGGAGGTGATTAGATTTGACATGACATAATTTCAGCTTACCGAGGACATGACCGTAGATAGGAGAGTGTAGAGGACGCATATGGATGTACAAGAATAGTTGGTGACAATGCGTTGTTTTGTTGTCCATTCATATAAAAAGTCGTGGTATTGCTCATGTAGTTTCTTGTCCTTTAATTTTTGTTACTATATGTTATTACTTGTACCTCAATTATTGTAATTTTGGTTATTACTTGCTGCTATTATTGTTAGTGTTTGTTGTTTTTTGTACTTCCGCAACTTTCTTTTTCGGAACTGCTTCGGACTGTCTTCTTGAATCAAATATATATTAAAAACAACTTTTCTATCTTAAAGATAGTAATAAAACTTGCGTATATGCATCCCTTCCCAAACTCTACTTTGTGAGACTAGTACAGTTATTTTATATTGATAGTGTAAATATTTTCTTATATCAATATATTTTGATATATTATGATAAAAGATTGCTTTTTTATTTTTTTAAGGTACCAATTAATGTTTTTATAGAAAATTTCATACAGTTCCCTATTAAATATGATGTGATGATATAAATTTTATACACAACAAAGCAGACAACATACATGCTTAATTAGAGACATTAAAATTACATTAATAAAACATCCAATATGTTCAAGTTTAATCTCCCACCAGCAACATATATGTGGAGATTGTTTTGTCAACTAATTAACACAATTGGACAAGAATTAAAGTTGTCCTGATCAAACGTTCGACAATTATTCTAAGGTACACACGTATTGTTACACATCCATCATTACTACCTATATATACCTTACCTATTTGCTTTAATTTTCAACATCACTACCAAATTAATTAAACACTTTCTATTAATAGTTTATTTTCTACATTTAATATTTTCTTTATTGCAAGATGAATTCATCTCAGAAAGCCAGTTATCATGCAGGAGAGGCTAAGGGTCAAACTCAGGTTCATTAAATATATATATCAATCTCAAAAATATTTTCTATTATTTGGATTGATTCACTACTAGAAATAGAAACAAAGATTTTTCACACTGCGAATTAGTGAGAAATTTGTGTTATAAAACATGAATTTTCCACTCGTTTCCCATTGAATCAACATACTAGGAAAATGCATGATGGAGAACAAATTCTCACGTGGGGAACTTCTTATTTTTTTCTTTTACACCGATTCAATCCAAATATCCGAGAGAATAACCATTGAACATTTTTCAATGAAAATTTTTAGTGAGAAAATAGTGATTTTTTAGTAGTGATTAATGACATGTCATCTTAATTAGTTCATAAATATATATTTCAGGAGAAAGCTAGCCAAATGATGGACAAAGCTAGAGATACTGTCCAATCTGCCCAACAATCCGTTCAGGAGGTTTGTCTATGCAACTTGTATTAATATTAAAAAACTTTTCTTTATATATATTACATTTTTTTCAACAAAAAATTAACTCAACATATATATATATATAAGGATAGACATAAAAAAAAAAAATTGAAACATGTATTGCAGTGAGTTTGTAATAATTACCCTGTGAAGACTCACTTTCGCTACGACTCTATGTTATTCTTACTTGATTTTTTCTTCATAATATCTGCAGACTGGACAACAGATCAAGGCTAAGGCACAAGGAGCTGCAGATGCAGTGAAAGATACTTTTGGAGCAAACAAATAAATTATTGGAAAAATTCAGTTCTAATTAGTAATTTAAGTTCCATAAAGTTTTGGTTATCCAACCTGGATTTTTTAGTTAATTTTTTTATTTTATTTTAATTTTCATGTTAAGATAAAGGCATTAATTGCCACAGTGAATTTTTCAGTCAGTTAATAATATGATTTCACGGTTTGAAACTATTTCTAAGAGTATTTAATTTTTCAAAATTCTTCAATTACTATAATTGTTAAAATCTATGGGAGGGTGGAAAGTCCTATGTTGGGTCCGAATGCATCCCCATGCAAGTGTTTGTGGTTACATACTACATGCAACTATACAATCATATCCGCCAAAACTTATCTTAAGCAGTAAACTTAAAAAACAGATTTCGAATCAATTCTCAACATTCCCACTTGATTCAA